AACTAATGCAAATTGCGGTTGTGCTAGAAAACACAGGAATGCTATTGTGGTCTTCAGCAAGAACAGAGGATGTTTTTGTTATTAACTGCATGTAAAAAACTATTACTAATCCTAGACATTGATGTTCCATCCGCATTTGGTAGCAGTCCAAATTACTTCTCTAAATTAATTGCTATAAGCATCCTATGGAAAAGAGAAGCATTTTGCTTCAGTAATTCTTGTAAACTTACTTTGTGTGGCATTGGATAGTTTTATCCATTAGAGAAATCCATCCACATAGGATGCAGCAATAATTGAAGGATTCCTCTGAAATACGGAAAATGGAATATAGGCAAAGAATGCACACAAAGTTGACTCATTCGTGCTTTAGAAATCTTTATTTCATTGAAAGACAGACTATTTGCTAAAAAGGAGACAAAGTTTACATTAATAATTAACAGATTGAGAAACTTAGAAACATAACCGTGGAGTCTTAAAACATACTAACTTGTTAAAGTCGTCTCATCCAACTGGTGCAAGTCAAGCAGATGCTCTCTTTTTGAAATTAATTATCTATTCTCCCTTAAAAAAAATTGAATTAGAAATTTGTTAGAAAGCAGGAGGGGATTTAAGTCTTGCTTTTTAAGAAGCAAAACTGCACTTTTGGTTTGTGTGAGGAAATAAAGTGTAAGTCCTTTTTATGTGATATTTAACTTTTGGACTTTTGGAGGTTATTTCTTACATTGTGCCATAAGTTTTTTAATTATTTTGCTGAATGTATAGTTTAAATTTAGCATTTTTAATGGTGCCTAATAGACTTACGAAAAAATATTTAGTTGGATTTATTCCCAGGAAATGACATTTCAATTAGTTCAGCTCATGCTACACTTTCTATTCTTAAAATATTTTTAAGTATGCAATATATTTAAGTGTTTCAGAATCTGATGCCTCATTTCAGAATTGCAACTTCAGTAGCTTAATGAGTGCTGTGTAATTCAGTGCAGAGGAGGTTTTGAGTACAGCTTAAAGTGCAAAAAAGACATGTAAGGTTTAGTATAGGGTTTGCAGTGAAGGTCCTAGCAATAGGTTTCTTCTCCATTAGGGTACATCTCCTTTTCTCAGAAGTGTTTTCAGAAAGAGCCTGCATTCAAGCTTCATACCACAGACTAGAACAGTAAAAAGTAATTTTATATATTTTTTTAGCTTCTGAAATACTGGTAACGATTGTAGAAAGGTAAGCTACATATATAAAATTTTTCTATGGGTAAGTCATAGAAAATTAAAATGGCATTTATGTGATTGTATCTATAGAAGATGGAGCATTTCAGAGGGAAATATATGAATCTATAGCGTGAATCACATAGTTGACTTCTCCTGCATTCACCAAGTATCTTGATGACAAGTGTCATGCCTCAGAGTTCAGATGCTGTACAGTCTTGGGTGATTTTTAAAAGCTTAAGCTTTAAAAAGACCATTGTTTAACTTGGTACATGTTTCCATCATTGATTTTATCTATACATAAGTATAGAAAAATTACCTCTTACCCTCTGTAAGACAGCTGATGACATTGTAAATTTTTCGGTTAAGAAAAGGAAATTATAAACTAAGTAGGATATTTATAACAGGCAATATCAAAGCACAGAAAAAATGTTTTAAAACAAGTGTTAGGAGAAAAATATTGACCA